ACCTTGTTAGTCTTTTGCGACTTTTAGGGTTCTATTTTTTGGAGGCAAACGGAGGGCTAGATCCCAGGGAGTTTGAGCGACCGAGCCATTAAAAATACCTCTGTTGATGGATTAATGTCGGAGGTTATGCCAACTGGCTTGTTGCGGCGTATGAACTAGGACTATTTACTAACCAACCAGTAGAATAACAGATATGGTATTTTTCATGGCTCAAATGATGGTGAAGAATCAGTAAGGGCTTAGTAATTGGAATCATCCTTGTTGATAGTTGTCCCTTGCAACACCCTGCTCGTTTTTGTGCAGACACGATGGGGGCATGCTGCGGTCATTCTGGTGGCTCCAGCATTGAAACTGTGGGCATCTGCCCTTCAGAATGATGGCAGCAGAGATATCGTCCCTTGTTGTACTCAAGGGTTGGTCGATGTCCCATAAAAATAATCTCATGCCCCCAAGAATCACGGGCTGTACAGAAAGGACCCCAAGTTGAAGATGCGACCTTCCGACCCGTACAGGTCCCTGAAAAGAAATATCAATGACTCACTACCTTGGAAACTATATACTGAGACCATGTGCATCCCAGCTGGTGTGTGGCACATAACCATGTTAGAACCCAATATATAATCATCAACAGCTTACATCACTGCCAGTAGCCCAGCAACTGAAGTGGCGCACACACACACACAGACGCACAGACACACACACACATACACACCAAAAAGAACGTGCCTTCGTTGACCGCGGACGGCAGCGGCAAAGCAGAGAAGGCGGGTAGGGAGGTGCTTCATGGGTGGTGGTGGTGGTGGTAGTGGTGGTGGTGGTGGTGGTTGTGGTGGTGACAATGATGATGGTGCGGATGAGGACCATGTTCAGAATATGGATTGCGATCATCATTCTGAATATTCTAACTACCATCCCCTAAATTAAGATAGACCCTGCGATGACGATAATAATGTTCACGATAAAGATAAAATCATATTGCCAGAATAGTAGTAGCAACAATAGCTATAATACTGTAACAATGACATTAACAATGAAACTAGATGAAACTAGTCAGAACAATAATAATCACGATATTAATGATGAAAAAAAATGACAATAATAATGCCAATAATCTGGAATAATGACGCATGTAGTGACAATAAAAAACTAACAACAATAACAAGAACAACAACTCTAGTAATAGCAATGAACTAACAATGAAATAAGAACTCACTAGTAATAACAATAACATTAGGAATACTTGATAACAATATACATGACAACAGGTGCCATGGCTCCCAAAGGTGCCAGGGAGCTCAGAGCCTTGCGGTTTTGTTGTGGGCGTCTTCGTTGGTTTCGGTTGTTGTATTTACGGACAGACCTTGAGGTCAGCAACCGTACCCTGCTGGCCAAGCAGAAAGGCGGCTTGCGCGCCAGTTTTTGCTACGAAACAGGGGCAACAGCGATACCTTTGGCCTAACAATTGGGGCAGATTTGGATAGATTTGACTTAGATTTGGTGATGTCCTTTTGCCCAGCAGGAATTTCTGGTCTAAACAACGAACTCCGAAATTCTGTGGGACGATATCATACGATATCCATTCGTTGCCCAGGCATCAAGATGGGAAGCTACGTGAGCCTGTCCTACCGGGAGGTTCTGCACCTCACATGGGATCTCCAACCCAAGTGGAGAATGTCATGAACTATCGATAGTTGTTCCGAATTGCCAACCATTTGGCGCTGTCATATGCCGTCCTAGCATATGATAGATAGGAGCATGCCGAAATCACAGAAACCACACAGACTCCCACATTTTCGCTGTTTCACCGTTGGACAAGACTTGCAGACCTATGACCTACTGCCATAGTGAGTGGGCCATTTTTGTTAAGGACCCTTGTAACATCAACCATAGCGATTTGCCTCCCTGCCCTGCAGTGGCTCAAAGACTTGGATTGATGCCAATCCCGGCTGCCGAGGGGCCAGATTCAAGGCCTACCAGCCATCGATGTTTTCCCATGGCGCTATCAATGGTTAGCCTGGGGTAAACGAACAGTAGATGTGGAGAAGCCACCATGAATGCAGATCATTTTCCAGGGGACACCAGAAAGTTTCCACATCTATGTTAGATTAGCAGAGGGTATGATCTATCATAGTATGTTTTTCCATTCCCAGATCATGGAGTAACAGCATGCAAAAGTAATAGAACGTGATCGCAGGAGCTTCACAAGAAGCTATGGGTTGATTATGTTCAAGGCACGAAAAGATGGACACCCGATATGTTTTTTTTTTACAATTTCTTCTGTTATTTCCTTGGTCAAGTGTCGAGGAAGATTTGCCACTGGTTAGTTGCTGGTTCTCCAAGCTGCTGGTGGTTTGGAAAACCAGATGTGGAGCACAGCGGTTCCCATGGTTCCCCAGTACCCCTTGGCAATAGATCTCACTTTGATGTTTCAAGGTCCAGAGGATTTCCATTTTTCTTCCTTCCATGGAACTTCACCCCTCAAGGACTGTGTTCCATCAGCAGCCAGCGCAGGCCATGATTCCTGTTGCGCCGGAGGCCGTGGACCTGCCCAAGCCCTTTGGCCTTGGCCTTGCAGCCTCGGAGTCCACCGAAGCGGAGAGCGATAACGAGGAGAACACGAGCCAGAGCCAGTTCCGAGATCCGGAGGATGGGTCGAAAGCTATGAATTGACCATTTGACTGGGAAAATCAGGGGGTAAACTGGGTACACCATAAACATCCATTATTGTGACTTAGAGCTGGTAGCGCCAGCTCTTCAACTGTAGCAGCTTTCCCACAACTGGTGGGATGCTGGGATGGGATGTTCGGCCCAGGTTCTTGGTAATCCCAGGCGCCGAAAGAGTGGCCGCACTGCGGCTGGGTTTTGTTGTGGTCATTGGGCAATGACCCATGAATTCCTGCAGAATCATTTGAGATAAATCTAGAATCATTGTCGACCTCATTCAGATCAGCAAACAGAATCAGTGAAATGATGCCGTCAACAGCATGGTATCCTCAAATGTAGCCTTCTGTAAGAATCTGTAAGGTTAGTGAATCATCATGTTACATGATGATATCCAGATTCAAAGTAGATCATGATATTGGGCTTTTGCTGACAACCACACATTTTTTGGTGGCAGAATCAAGATCTTTGCTGGTAAACATCCTGGTATTTTTTTCGTTTTTTTTTTTTGCCTGGTTTGAATCCCAAACTATGTTCATGAAATCCTCACGAAACTCATATGCATCGCTTTCAGCAGCGTTATAATATATATATATACTTAATATATTACAATATGCAGTATATAGATATAGATGGAATAGAAAGATATTTGGTATAAGGATAGTAGTTGATAAAAGAGGCGTGTGCAAGCGCATTTGAATGTGATTGTTGCCCCACCCCAACCCACATCTTCCCACATCATTTTCCCCTCGCATTCCAGAGGTTTTTACTAAGCTGTCTTAGTTGTAAGTGATTAAACTTAAGAGACTTGCAGTTGTGAGATCTGAGAGTTGTAAGAAAATCTGACACTTGTGAGATGGATACCAACTTTGCTGGAAAATATCCTGAGTTCGCTGATTTCGTCCAACAAAACCTTGGTGCATAGCCCGCTTTTATGGTAGTTAAAAAATAGGGATGATTCAATGAACCAATCGCAAACCCATGACTGGGAATGGTATGGTTCCCATTCCCAGCCATGGGTGGTAAACTGGCGTTGTTTTACCCACATGATATATACAAATCCCATTAAAATCATCATCATATCATCATTTTTGTTGGTTAGATCCCATGAAACCACAATTTTCATGGTTAAATCATGTTAAATCCCATGAAACCACCATTTTTCATGGTTAAATCCCATGAAACCCACCATTGTTCAGACCAAGCCATCCCTGCGCCGCAGGCGCGAACTCGGTGTCCAACATGTCCAGCACCTCGCAGCTGCAGCAGGCCTTGGCGCAGCAGCTCCAGACGCTGAATCAGTTGGTCCAGCAGCGCGACAAAAACTGGTGGTTTGGAACATGAAAAGGAATACCCTCTGGGGATTTTCAAAATAGCTATTGAAAATGACCATTTATAGTGGATTTTCCCATTAAAAATGGTGATTTTCCATAGCTATGTTAGTTTACCAGAGGGTAATCATATAGTTGGGACCCATTAAATATAGCTGAGCTAGGGGGGATAAATGGATATAAATGGATCGTAATAATCATATAAACTAACCAATGGGAATAATCATATAGTTGGGATGATTATTCCCATAATGGTTAGTTTATTACTGTTTTTTTATGACTTTCCCATATTAATTGGGAATGTCATCATCCCAACTGTTACTCACTCCATCATTTTTCAGAGGGGTAGGTTCAAACCACCAAGCAGGTTATTATGAACCATCATTATATATATATATAACCATATTATAACCATTAATATTAGCCATTAATATTAACCATTAATATTAACCATATACTAATAGTATATTACCAACCAACTATGGAAAGGATGGGAAAGTCGGCTCTTTCGCAGGTCTTTCGCGGCGAAGCGTTTTTTTTTCCTTCGATCATTTCTCCGGAGGGGTGCAGTGTTTGACTCAGAATTTTGAGCTGTTTCAAACGCATGCGATAGGCATGGGCTGTTTTTCGCAGGCATGCGTGGTCGGCATGGGATGAACAAACCACCATTAGCGTGATCTTTAATAAAGTACCCCCAAGTATAGAACCATTTCGAACAGAATCCGAGGCAATGTATCCCAAGCAGGGGGCATACATGGCAAACCACAGACGCAAATTGGGCTTTAGTCACCGAACAATGGGGTTTTCTCGATTTCGCTTGGTGCTTTACGGTAATCACCAAAAATGGGTATGTTGAGCAAGGAAAGGGACCTTTTACCTTCCAAAAATGTGTGGAATTTCAGCAAGATTTACCTCCCAAGAAACGGGTAGTTTCAGCAAAGAAAGGAATCTTTCACCTTCCAAGAATTGTGATTTTTGAGCAAAACAAGGTACTTGTATCTTTCACCTCCAGAAAAACCGGAGAGTTTCAGGCAAACAGAGATATCTTTAACCTTCCAAGAATTGTGGAGTTTGAGTAGGAACAGGTCAACAAGGATAATCTCTTACCTCCCCCAAAATGGGAATTTGAGCAGTAATGGGATCTCTCACCTCCCAAGAGTGATCCACTGCATGAGTTTGTCGGCTCTTCGGACATGGGGAGTTTGAACAAATAAAGAGAATGGCTCACGACCCAAAAATGGGGAGTTTGCAGATGGTTGTCAGCAATCAGCTGCCTGTTACTTCAAAATTCAACACGTTGAGTTGCAACTTGCCATTAGTATCTCTGAATCATAGCATTAATCAGTCGCCTTGATGGCCCAGAGCGGTGGCTACCCAAAAGTAGACAAGCAGTTTTTTGGACCCAGTCTTTTTCATTCATCTCAAGTTGGATCTGGGGTGCGACCGAGGAGTTGCAATGACATCTTCAGGGAGGATGGCATTGGCATGCGGATGCCAACCTGCGGTCTCAGTTTTTCACCCGCCGCTTGTACCTCACCTCCCATCCTAGGCACACGCCCCGCCGGCCCCTCGGGAGGCATGCACCTCCCAGACAAAGCGCTGCCTGAAGTGCACATGGTGCCACCCGTACCGCAGCATTGGGGGTACCAGCAGGCAGTACCCAAGCAGAAGTCGCAAAGGCAGAGCAAACAGGTACCTGCCCATGCGCCTGTGGCCGGGCCGCGCACAGCCAAAGTGGCCGGGAAAAACAAGATGGCTAAGGTCAAGGAGGTCACGGAAGTAATGGAAGTGAAGGAGGAGCGCAGCGGTTCCTCTTTGGCTTAGCTGGGTGCCTAAAACATGGTGTGGGATGTTGTTTCATTCTTTGATCACGCTTCTCTAATTGTGAAGGAGAGCCTTGTGGCCCAGAACACGGCGACCGGAAAAGGTGGTCGTCACTGGAAGGACTGCCACTGGTGACACCAACCCCCTTGGAGGGGCACCCTGCAACACAAGAAACAAAGATATGACCGGTGACGGCGGAAATCCCTTGACCCATCTTGACCCCGCCAGGAAAAGGTGCCCAAGACTGATTCAAAGACTTCAGAGGCCTGTGGGAGATGGAGGATGACAGAGGCATTGGGCGCAGAAATTCACGAAGATGGGCTAAACTGCCTAAACTGAGTAAGTGGTTGACTGCATGGGAAGTCTGCCTATCTGCAAGTCACCTACTGTATGTGTCCATTCTTCTCTTCGTCTATGTGTCTTTCGGTCTCTCTGTCTATGTGCCTATCTATCTACCTAACCTACTGCAATCTAATCTATACTCTACTCTGGCTTAGTCTAATCAAACCTAAAGTCTACATCTAGTCTAGATCCCAATCCAAATCCAATCTAGTCTGGTCCAACCTATCTATTTATTATCTCGGTGCATGACCCATCCACACCAGCGATATATGGGGCGCTGAGTAGGTGCCCACCGAAAACAGATTGGCTTTCCTGGTTCCTGGGAGACCGTGACATTGATGGACTCTCACGGAATTTGATGGATTTTTGACGGATTTTTGACGGATTTTCGATGGATTCTGGATGGTGGTGGATCAAAGCTTGTTTTGGGCACACCCTGCCACATCTCTCCAACGTGCCCAGGCCTTTCAGTTTCAATGAGCTCGCGCACCTTGGATTGGTAGTTTAGTACAACTTCTTCTGCTACTTGAGGGCAACAACTGGCCAAAAAAAAAACGGGGCTGGGGGCCCAACACCTCCTCAATCCATCAAAAAATGCAGGGAATCACCTCATGGAACCCCAAGAAACATATGCAACTCCAGGGAGTTGTGCGTGGTGTTCATCAGACAGGGTGACGACTGATGAGATCTGCATCTGTCGACTTGAATTCAAGGGTTGGGATGGGAAAACCACGGGAAACCCAGCGATTTGTTAGCTGCATGGGTTGATATCTGCTATGTGTTTGTCATGTCTGTTTATTTTGGGGGGTACTTCAGGTCCGCCATGATACCTACAAGTAGCTCCTAAAATCCGATGCACATCCACTCTAAAGTTATACAAGAAAATCACTCAGGATATTGGATATGGCCTATTATATTGAAAGGTGTTTCGCTAGAAATACGTGGTGTTCACAAGACTTGGCAGTGCCCGAAGGGACGCATTTTCACAGGAACGCAATGGAATTCCGATGAGTTCCGGAGGAAAACGCCGTCTGTTTTCTACAACTGTTACCTTAAACATCCTTAAGCCAAATCCCTGGTGCCAGATGTCCGGACATGGATTTTTTTGGTGACCAAGCAACCTCATTGGACCACAATGTCTTGGGATTTATGTATTCTCAAACATCATTCAGATTTTTTTTGGATATTTCACTGGAATGATGGTTAGTAACTATTAGTAAGGGGCTTTTACACACACACACACGTGTGTATATATATATGATATAATATATATATATAAATATGATATATACATAAATATATCATACATTATTATTTGATTGAATGTCCCATCCTCTTCTTGTTGCATCTATAACATATGGTATGGTGATATAAGCTGCATCATGTTCCATGCACCATATCAAGACAGCAGGACTGCCGCCTGACCTGTCGGATGCGATTCCGCGACAGACTGTGTTTGGCAGACTGCAGAGAGGTAGCCTGCGGGAGATTCCAGCAGCAGATGGCGTCAGGGTTTTGATATGTTTCGATATGTTTGTTGTGAGTTGTTTTTTGTGGTGCATGTCTTTCAGATGGCAACATCAGAAAACTTGACCAGCTGGTTTCAAACGGGTAGACTCATCATTTCCCCAATAAATCGCTGTTGCCAGAGCCATTTTGCCAGAGGAGATTTTGGAGCAGTGGTTGGAAGGGACGAGACGTCTTTGATCATTTTACGGAGGTTGAGGTGGAGATCTCTAAGTTTTTGGGGAGGCAACTAGCAAACGCTTGGTCTGGTAAATAGGCTTAGTTTTTGGCCATGGCAGACATAGCATCCCGGTTTGCTTGAATATATCGAGGCTAATTAGTCCACAGTTTCTTCCAATAGTACCACGACTAAAATAGAGTGTTTGCAAATGCATTGAGTTCACAGACAGGACATGCTGTATTATCTTTTGAGACTGCAGATGCAGCGAGGGAATCTGCCCGCAACTCCGCAACTCCGCACCTCCGCGGGTCAACGGATTGGAATCCGCGGGTGCGTTGGGTGCGTTATGCACCTGGCCCAGTGGCCACACCATCCTTGGTGAATTTGGAGGCCCAAAGCCGGCGGCGGACAGGGCATATGGTAACAAAGATCCATCGGATTTTGCCACTTAGCAGTTTGTCATTTCATAATAGTTCTGTTATGTTTGTTTATTTCTATTTATTTCTATTGATTTCTTATGCCAAACCCCTCCCTGGTGCTAACCCCTGGCAGCTCCTGGCGCATGGTTTGCTATCCAGGGCCATGGGCCTAAGACTATCTAAGACTGCAATCGGCTGCTCCAAAGGAGCATGAAGGCAACGACCATGCAGAAACAGCGTGGTTTCCGGAAAAAGGTGTCGGTGAACTGCTCCTTCTGCTTTCCAGTGCGCACACCAGTGAATAGCCCACTGGCGACCCCACTGGCCAGGAAGGGAAGGGACCTCTGTTGAAGTACGAAGGGATCATGGCAGATCGCCGCATCGGCGGCACTGACCGAGAGTCCTACGTTGGAGTACTCAGTGGACGAGCCGAGAGAAATGTGGTGAAGTATTTAAGGCACATTTCTATCATTTTCTATCCACTTCTGGTTTATGAATGGGTTTTATCAAGTACTACAGTATTCTATAGTATTCTAGGTGTAATCGGGGGTCAATGTTTCCCCAGATTTAAGGGGGAAACATTGATAAACCAGTGTTTTGTTCCTACAGCTGCGCAGCTTTACGAATTGTGGCCAGGATGGGTATGGGAAGCTTGCCAACATCTCTCGTTGATGCTTACCTAGTGATCACCATCTGCTAACTATCGACATCTAAAACATAACATGTCTAAATCTAAACCTACACACACACATATATATATATAATCATATATAATCATATATAATCATATATAATCATATATAATCATATATATATATGTGTGTGTATCTATATATGCTGTATATATAATCCAATCCATCTATATCCATCTATCGTATATGAATAGACCATAGACCTGCGCAGATAAGCTGTACTTCGCCGCACTGGGGATCATCGAAGCCCAAGAAAAACGTGGGCTGGAAAGTATAACTATACGTATACCTACATACCTGCATACCTACATACCTACATACCTGCATACCTACATACCTGCATACCTGCATACCTACATACCTGCATACCTGCATATCTGCATACCTACATACCTACATACCTGCATACCTACATACCTGCATACCTGCATACCTACATACCTACATACCTGCATACCTACATACCTGCATACCTGCATACCTACATACCTGCATACCTGCATACCTGCATACCTACATACCTACATACCTGCATACCTACACCCCTACATACCTGCATACCTGCATACCTACATACCTGCATACCTGCATACCAGCATACCTACATACCTACATACCTACATACCTGCATACCTGCATACCTACATACCTACATACCTGCATACCTGCATACCTACATACCTGCATACCTGCATACCTGCATACCTACATACCTACATACCTACATACCTGCATACCTGCATACCTGCATACCTACATACCTACATACCTGCATACCTACATACCTACATACCTGCATACCTGCATACCTGCATACCTACATACCTACATACCTACATACCTGCATACCTGCATACCTACATACCTACATAACTGCATACCTGCATACCTGCATACCTACATACCTACATACCTACATACCTGCATACCTGCATACCTACATACCTACATACCTACATACCTGCATACCTGCATACCTACATACCTGCATACCTACATACCTGCATACCTACATACCTACATACCTGCATACCTGCATACCTATTTACCTACATGCCTATATACATACCTACATAGATACCTACATAGATACCTACATAGATACCTACCTACATACCTACATACCTACATACCTGCATAACTACATACCTAGATACAAACCTATATTGATACCTACTTACATACCTACATAGATACCTACATAGATACCTACCTACATACCTGCATACCTACATACCTGCATACCTACATACCTACATACATACCTGCATAGATACCTACCTACATACCTACATACCTACATACCTACATACCTGCATACCTACATACCTGCATACCTACATACTTACATACCTGCATACCTACATACATACCTACATAGATAGCTACCTACATACCTACATACCTACGTACATACCTACATACCTCCATACCTACATACCTACATACCTACATACATACAAACATACATGCATACCTACATACATACGTACGTACATACCTACATACCTACATACCTACAAACCTGCATACCTACATACCTGCATACCTACATATCTACATACATACCTACATAGATACCTACCTGCATACCTACATAGATACTTACATAGATACCTACCTACACACCTACATACCTACATACCTAAGTACATACCTACATACCTACATAGCTACATAGCTACATACCTAACATACCTCACATACCTCACATTTACAAGATACCTACATACCTCCATACCTACATAACTACATACCTACATACCTACATACCTCCATTCCTACAAACCTACATAGCTACATACATACATACCTACATACATACATACCTACATACCTACATACCTACATAACTACATACCTACATACCTACATACCTCCATTCCTACATACCTACATAGCTACATACATACATACCCACATACATGCATACATGCATACATGCATATTTGCATACATGCATACATGCATACATGCATGCATGCATGCATACATACAGACATACAGGCATACAGACATACAGACATACAGACATACAGACATACAGACATACAGGCATACAGGCATACAGGCATACAGACATACAGACATACAGACATACAGACATACAGGCATACAGGCATACAGGCATACAGACATACAGACATACAGACATACAGACATACAGACATACAGACATACAGGCATACAGACATACAGACATACAGACATACAGACACACACACACACACGTACGTACGTACGTACGTACGTACGTACATTCATAGATAGGTAGATAAGAAAGAAAGAAAGACAGACAGATAGATAGATAGATAGATAAATAGATAGATAGATAGATAGATAGATCGGTAGATAGATAGATAGATAGATAGATAGATAGATAGATAGATAGATAGATCCATCCATCCATCCATCCATACATACATACAAACATACATACACACCTTCCTTTTATCCTTTGGCTGAAATGTTGGCTTCTGAGATCGAGCTGAAGAACAGCATTCTGGTGGGCAAGGAGAATGAGATTCTCGCCCTGGTCACCTGTCGGCATGGGGAACACTGACCTTTCGGGGCTGGGCCTTTCCAGCTGCATGGTGGTGCCCCAGTTTGTTCGCGAAAGTTGGTTTTCTACTATTGGGCCTCTCTCTCTCATTATATGATATGTCTTTAATTAATGGGCTGAACACAAACCAAGTCATATTTGGGAGGGCACTACATTATAGAATTCCAGAGCCAGAAACCATCCCCTAATTTGCCAGAATGGCTGATGTAAACCAAAATAACACCTAAAATTGGAGGGTAGGTAGCAGATTGGAGACCCAAAACCATACCCTCTCTTCGTGGTTTGGTTTTGAACACCGCCACAAATGGGTAAAGGTTTGTAAATAGGGTATGTTCTTGTGGGGCTTACCATAGTGCAACCAGCATTACTAAGAAGAATCATTGCGCCATGAAACCAGAAAACTAGTCGAGAGGTTACAACTGTCCAGTCTCTAACTTGTCGATTTTGGCCCGCAGGAGAGGATGGAAACATTCTACCTTTCAGCCCGGCAGTGTAGCTGCAGGGAACATTTTTTTTAACGCCTTGTTGGTTGATAAAATGCAAGGCCAACCACTGGACACTCGACAACCTCAATATAGAAATATATAGAAATATATCGAAATATTTAGAATACAGATGATGATATGCATAATATGCGATGATCAACGGAGATAGTATACGATTATAAACAATATGAACAGTATACTGATGATCACCATGAATGGATCGGTGTCGAGGAGGGTGTCAAGCGACTCTTTGACGCTTGGATCGATGACATGGCCTTGGCCGAACAGAGGAGCACTGTCAGCTTGGTGGGGTGGTCCCGTGGGTACAGAAAAATGGGCTGCCAGGCGCAACTAGCAGTTAGCCTCTGGTAGAGTGACATAGAAACACGGTAAACGATGGGAATACTTTATGGGATGGCAATGGGATTTGGCCCACCAACTGTAGCAAGTTTTCGCAACCATCCGCAGTAGCTGGAAGAAATGGTTCATTTCGTTCGATTTTACAGTTTGCGAACTCTTACATTACCAGTGGGTATAGGTGGGGTAAGAGCCCATTGGTCAACTGCAAGGATATCAAGCTATGGGTCATTGGCTTAAACCTAACTGTATGTCAGCAGTCCTTCAGAAGCGTCGTCCATGAGGCCGTCCATGGTTGGAACCCATTAAATATCGCTGAGCTAGGGGGATCGTTTTACCCTGGTTGGTGGTTTGGAACATGAATTTTATTTTCCATTCAGTTGGGAATGTCATCATCCCAACTGACGAACTCATATTTTTCACAGGGGTTGAAACCACCAACCAGTACCTCTATATTTAAACAACATTTCCCCCCTTCTAGCTGGTTGGGAGCAACCCTTGTGCCCGCAGATCGACCCAAGAAATGACCGCAGCCAAAGCAGCAGCGGCCCAACGGCGCGTGGGAGCGACCCAGTAACAATGTGTTGATTGGTTACGCCCTTGGGTGCTATACTACCATGGTTATTGTTTATATTGGGGAGTATTTTTCCATGGGAAAGCTATCAACCAACTAGTAGAATGAGATGGGTCCCACGGGGTATTTTTCGCTCACCCCTTCGGTAGAACACGTGTGTCCCTGGTCCCGAGGCGGGTCCGGCAAGAACAGAGTCAGGTGCGCGGCCTGAGTTCCTTCCAGAAAAAGTCCTCCGTATTTCTTCTGAGATGCAGGTCTGAAAATACAGGTATGCACAGGTCAAATTACGGATCTGAATTGACTAAGTGACTAAGTCTATGAGCGAATAAGGACACGCAAACACACACGCTCAAACTCAGACATAATTTTACATATTAAATACTCACAAAGACCCACTGCTATCTGCGCGAGTGACATTTGCATTTATGGCTTAGGCAGCATCACAAGTAGCGAAGCTGGTGGTTGTGACCTCGGCCGTAGCTGCCAGATGAGGGTGATGCGGTAGAATCTGACGATTCATAAGGACCATTGGGTCAGCATGGTTCAGCCGCAGTCCTATTCTGATCCTCAAATAATAATAGGCAACTTGCCCACAATCCACCCTACAAAGTTCTACAACTATTCCTCGCTAGACATTGAGCGGCCCTTTCGCATATATGTTTGCAATTCTTCGAGAAATGAAGCTGGCAGGGCTCGATCCGAAGCGGCTTCTGAACAGCAGAGCGAAAAGCTAAGGTTGCAGCGGCTATGGCTGTGGGTGCTGTGACAGTTGTGGCTGTGGCTGCTTTGGTGGCTGTGGCGGCTGTGGCGGCTGTGGCTGTGGCGGCTGTGGCTGTGGTGGCTGTGGTGGCTGTGGTGGGTGTGGCTGCTGCGGCTGTGGCGGCTGTGGTGGCTGTGGTGACTGTGGCTGTGGCTGTGGCGGTTGCGGCTGTGGTTGCGGGTGTGGTGGGTGCGCCGGCTGTGGCGGCTGCGGCTGTGGTGGCTGTGGAGGTTGCGGCTGTGGTGGCTGTGGCGGTTGCGGCGGCTGTGGCTGTGGTGGCTGTGGTTGCTGCGGCTGTGGCGGCTGCGGTGGCTGTGGCTGTGGTTGTGGCGGCTGTGGCTGTGGCGGCTGTGGCTGCGGTTGCGGCTGCGGTGGCTGCGGTGGCTGTGGCAGCTGTGGCGGCTGTGGCGGTTGCGGTTGCGGCTGCGGCTGTGGCTGTGGTGGCTGCGGCGGCTGCAGCGGTTGCGGCTGTGGTGGCTGTGGCGGTTGCGGTGGGGGTTGCAGTGGCAGTTGCAGTGGGTGTGGCATGATGAACGCTATGATGGACATGATGGGGGGCATGAACCCTATGACTTTTCCGGCCTGTTTAAGTGCTGCCGCTTGAGGTTTTATCCTCTACATAGGAGGACCCAACCTATTGATCCTATTGGTATCTGGCGCCAGGATGAATCCCATGGGGATGGCCGCCATGGGAATGGCCATGATGTCTGCAGCCAAAGGCGGCAGCCCTGGGTCTCCTGCCTTGTCCCAACCATGCATCCAAAGGACTATAGTGATTCTTCAGAGCATTGATCGTGTCCTGCATCCTGGTTTACGGATGGCATGGCAGCTAACTCCGTCAAAACAAACGCGGAGAGAGAAAGGACTTTTTTGGTCAGTTTGTTTTTTTTTGGGTTTCTGTTGGAAATCGTGTGTTTTTTGGTACCATGTTGAATTTTGATGAATTTTGGGCGTGATAGGATGGCACGTGAGCTAAGCCTGCAAGAATTCAATATCTGTTCGGATCCTGGCATTCCAGGCATGAAGGATGAAGATAGTGAAGAGGACTTCTGGGATTGAGAAATTTAAGAGGTTGTCAATTCGTGTAATTAGTGGGGCTATTTTGGATCCCTGAAGTTGGTGGAGGAGTAGCCAACGGGTGTGACCCGCTCACTGGTGAAGGCAGAGTAGAAGCCTTGGTGACATCACTCCTGAGTCCTTCAGGGAAGGAATTGAGCATGAACAGTTTCCAAAGCCACTTGTGGTATTGCAGGGAGGGAATCTGAAGCTTGGTACAAGAGTAGGCCCCTGGCAGTTTGACTCATTTTACATCTGTTTTTCAGTGTGAAACTGCAGCTGGGGGTTCTAGCCGGGGTTCTAACTAGCATAACTAGGGTAACTAGGGTATATAAATGAATATACTGTCTAAGATGATCTAAGATTAAGTATGGTGAAAAGTGACTTCTGGCTGCCAAAGTTTCAAAAGGCCCACTCTTGATCACGCCCTGGATGAGACAGCCAGGAGAGTGCCGATGAGAAGGAAGAGTCCAAAGGCTCATCAAAAAGATCGACCCCTACAAAGAACAGATGTCATATCAACCTGTAGGGTTTCCAGTATTTTTTTGGTTGCATGTTTGTGGGGTAAGTTATGACTATATGATATTATACGTGCAGTATTTTATGATACCATATCTGGTTGGTGGTTTGGAACATGAATTTCATTTTTTCCATTCAGTTGGGAATTTCATCATCCCAACTGACTTTCACTCCATCATTTTTCAGAGGGGTTGGTTGAAACCACCAACCAGTTATGATATCATCTGTGCTGTAGGACTGTGATCTGAACTTTTTTGCCTCTTCCCCGGGGGGAAGGGTTGGATGCTCCAAATGGCACTTTTTCAGGCAAAATTCCACCATTTGGAAACCTGGACGTTTGGAGAAACCTTAGGTTTCCCTGTTTCTTTAAAAACAATTTTCCCTTGAAATCAATCCGTTGACATGATGGCATTCCACATTGGAATGCCCAAAACCACCATGTTTTGGCTTAAGTTCCACATACCATCCGAGTGAATTCCACATAGGTCATTTCTGGAGGAAAGCGTGGGTTGCCGATGTCGTACATATACGTTTAAACTTACCATAGGAACATGTTAAAGGGTTAAACCAGCAGTATGGCCATATCACTCAGCAATATCCCACACATATCCATGATGAAATTGGTTTATAACATGTTATACCGTATACCTTTTAAAAGAACGCCAGAAATATCATCCCTTATCTATGGTTACACTCCTGTAATATAACATGGCTTTGGAAAATCCTTCATTTATAGATGATTTCCCAAACTTGTGTTTTTGCCATAGCAGCAAACTGTTGAATTATCAGAGGGTGCAATGTCCGAACCTCACTTACAAGCTGGTTTCTAAAACCAATCTCGGATATATCTATATACCATACATCCAACTTGTATAGGTCATATGAGTCATATGATATTTATAGATGATATGGTGTGATATGATATTCCCACGTACACACACACATATATATATATAATATTTACTTGAATGGATACATTGGATGAGAAACACACATACATAGACATACATATATATATATACATATTCCCTTAGATATATCTCCCATTTAAATGTAGAGATATCCCAACTCATAGATGCATAGATGATGTTATAGATGATATCTCAAGAAAAAATATTAGGATATCGAAAATCCAACATTCCAGCATTTTCACATATATCTACCATCTATCAGATCTATCCATAGATGACATTCCCATCCTTTCGGGACGCAGGTGCAGTTCCTGGCCCAGGCCCAGTTCCGGAAGCCACGTGCGGAAACCTCGCAGGGTTGATCCCATGGGATTACCATCTGGTTATGACTAACATAGCTGGCTGGATCATCCCAACCAGAAATGGAGGTTTTAATTTAATGGGAAAATATCATCTATTTTGATTAGGGCCATGGCGAAGCCCATGGCGAACGGTGAATGTCATAACCAGAGGGTATCAAGAACTTTTCTTGTCAGTGAAAAATATCCATGGCCAAATGATGATCGTGATTTATATTGATTTGTGGTAATCTGGTTGGTGGTTTGAAACATGCATTTTATTTTTCCATATTTTCCATATGTTGGGACTAATAATCCCAACTGACGAACTCATAGTTTTCAGAGGGGTAGGTCAACCACCGAGCAGTAATTTTCATGATTTTTCATTCATGGTGAATGGTGATGAAAATAGCTGTTTTCATGGTGATTGAACCGTGATTTTCAAAAAGGACTCCCTACATGGCCATGGCAGTTGTTATCCTCCGGGACCCTGATCTATCCGTCTATCCAGTGATTTTTCATAGTGATTGGTGGTGATGAATGATTGAATAACCCTCTGGTAATTTAACAGTTTGCTATTGAAAATGGCCATAGAAATAGTGGATTTACCCATTGAACATGGTGATTTTCCATAGTTATGTTAGTTTACCAGAGGGTAGTGGTGATGAAAATAGCTGTTAACAGTGATATTTTCATGGTGGTTCATAATGATAGCAATGGTATTCATGAGATACTACTATGTGAAACGAAAGCCTCCCGTAAAAGTTTACACAAATGACTCATACAGTAGATGTGAAAAACCCGGCATTTGTAGATTCTTCGCAACAGCAGAAAGCTATTTCTGGATCTAGTTCTAGTGATTAATTCTGATGAACAGTGATTAAATCTGATGGGTAGTGATTCATCTGGCAAACCCAGTGCCATAAACCTCCAATTTTGGACTACTACTTACGACCTATTTCTGGATCTATTTCTAGCAAAATTGGGATGGTTTCTTATTTGGGACTGGGTTTACCACATTAATAAAAGGGCTACCGTAGGGCCATGTTTTCTTTGGCCAAGTGGCCAAGGTGCTGACTCAGCAGGCCCGCAGATGCCCCCCGCATCCACGTTCCAACTGCTGAGGTCGCAAGATGTAACCAAAGAGTTGCTCAATATCGACGAAGGGGCCACTTGATTGGAAAACCAAGGGGAGTACAGGCCACCACACATGTTTGTCCCAGACTTGGGTACCCCGCTCCATACCATGGTCATCAGTTCCCCAGGTGTGTTATTGTGGGGCATCCCCATTGAACAATAGAAGGTGATTCATGGGCCCCAAGTGGGTGATTCACACAACCCTTATTCGGACTTATTCGTGTCATGGATGTGGGTTCAAATTTGAGACCTCCAAAAAGCAACATTTTTTCGGTTGCTTTCTCTATACATCTCTCATAATATGTCTTGAATCTCGAGTTGTCCAATTTCAGTTTACTCACTGTTTGTGGATACCAAATGGCAAAGACTGTGGCAAACCCAATGGTCAACCGCGCCCAAATTGATCAACAATTGGTCCTGCACCAAGATGCCGTGAATTTACCAACTTTATACCATCCCTATAACATAGACCCCTACCATGGGTCGGGGAAGATGAGTTTCCACTAAAATGAAGCGATGTTCTGCGATTTTCAGGGTCAAAGAACGTGACTTTGAGTTGTGGAGTCGGGGAGTTGGGTGATCCATCCATCCCCAGAGGCTTTTCTTCGTGTGAACTACATGCATCCCCAGCTGGGCATGGGAGCCCAACGCCATCGATTTCGGAGGGTTCTTTTAATGTTTACGGGTCACAAGAATAAGACGTGTGATAAACCCTTTAAACATCTTTAAACAAAAAGACTTCATGTGTTTTAGCAGTTAGTCACTTACCACCCATTTATGGTGATGTTGGGGAATATTCTGTGGGTTTACGCAGTAATAACACCATTTTTAATGGGTAAGTAGTAACAGGATGCACGAGACCTGGGGAACGAAACTGGCCTTGAAGCCAGGCCATGAACTGTGACCGGCTTGACCTGGTGACTACGATTTAACCGGATCAGATTTCAGATGTGATGAACAAAATGAGTATCAAAGTTATTCAAAGTTTAAGGTCGATAAAGGGAGTTTTTATGGGCGTTTTGGGCATGAGAGTATCAAATACCTTGGGCGTGTCAAGCCGGTCCCATTTTTGGGACAGCCCGAGGTAAAGTCACTTACGAGGGAGCTCTTCATGAGAAGTTCATTGGAACTTGCGCCAGTCAGCCCGCAACGCCCAGTGACAATGGCCATCCCCCTGGGCCGGATGAAGTGCTTGGTTGAACCGCAGAGTTTGGAAGAAAATGTCTTGGTCTAAAATCCAGTTCTCTGAGTTTCATTGAAACAAGCTCCATCCAGAGGTCGTACATCCAGCTGTCTGGTTGCAGAAGATGTGGCGATGGACCGGGAGAGGAAGAGGCCGCCTGTGGCGGTTTGGTCTGAGAATCATGCGGGTTTGATCATCAAGAATGGGGATTTAACATGATTTAACCAACAGCAGTGGTATAGTGGGATGTAATAGAAATGTATTTGGGATATGATGGTGTAATCAACGTTTCATGCAAATTCTTTCCCCGTCTCTCTCGTAGTTTTGTGGGATGAATCGGCCCCAGGAGTGGCACGTTTGGCCATCCATTTTACCACCCTGAAGATCTGAGCTGATGCTATGATGTCATCATGAAGCCAGTCATGAAGGCATTCGTTGGACATTGATATCAAGATATATCAAAGATATTCAAAGATCATTGGGAATTACCTCCATACTACCACCGCCACGACTGGTTGGCGGTTTCCGAGTGGACCATTACCGCCGTCTCCTGCCATGCCGCCATGCCACGTGCCGCGGTTGCCTCTCAAGCCGGCGCGGTGATTCGTGGCCGTTCGGCACCGGTGATTCGGTGCCGTTCTTTCAGCGTCGTTTCAAGGACAATGCCGTTTGATCTCTATATACTCCAGACCAGGCAAAAAGAGGGAGATCCCAATCCCAAGATGATCTACCATCTGGTTATGACTAACACTTCGCCATGGTATAGATGGCCCATTTATAGATGGTTTACCTATTAAAAATGGGTGGATTTTCCATGTTTGGGAGGATTGAACAGCAGAAAGTCTTGGCGTGGAAATCCCTGTGGCACATGGCGCGACGCTGCTCGGCACCTTGCGATGAGATGCACTTGCCGCGGTTGCTGCACCAAGGTGGGGTTGATGTAGCCATAGGTCCATTGCAGGCTAAATGCATCTAAATCTGGTTGGTGGTTTGGAACTATTTTTATTGTTCCATATGTTGGGAATAACAATCCCAACTGACGAACTCATATTTTTCAGAGGGGTAGGTATACCACCAACCAGAAATGCAATGAACTTATATATTGAAGAACTTCTTTTGGGTGGCCAAGCGGTACCACATTTCCAACCTGCAGGTGAGACTGGCAGGACCGAACCAGCTTCCACCACGGCTTGTCCCAAACGAAAACTCAAGGAGTTTGGAGACATGCAGAGCTCGTAGTTGGTGATATTTCGCCTTTTTGGGCAGTTTTGTCAAAGATGGAAATGGAGATTGTATATATATATATGTATAGCGACGGGCTTGTACTTAGAACATACTTTGGAAAAAAAAACCGCACAGCTGGGATGTTCTAAGTAGGGGATGTAAAAATCGGTACTTAGAACATACCCAAAACCTATACTTAGAACATTTCAAAACCTATACTTAGAACATCCCAGTGGGGAACCAATGGGAACCATATATATATATATATATATGTGTGTGTGTTCGAAGTGCAAGTCCGTCACTAATTATCTATATACACTATATAATACTATATATTTTAGTATTGAAACCTATGCTTTTTGACTACCCCCTGTAGGAAACCCACAAATGACTAGAGACCTTTCCCATTGCAGCAAAGACTGCTTGGGATATTGTTCCCGAAGAGAAGGTTTATAATGCTTTTCTGCAGCAGTGAGGGGAGAAAGTGTTCTAAGTATGGTGTTCACCAAGGCATTTGTGTGTATATATGCAGATTTACCAAAGTAACTGGAAATGTTCTAAGTATATGTGTTTTTAATGTTCTAAGTATGCAAAAATCAAACGAAATGTTCTAAGTATATGTTTTTTTTTGATGTTCTTAGTACTTAGAAATATTTTGATGTTCTAAGTATAGGGTAATTTTGATGTTCTAAGAAAAGGTTCAGATATTTTGGAAAATGATGTTCTAAGTATATGTCCGTCGCTGTATATATATATATATGTATATATATATGTATATATATATATATGTATATATATGTATATATATATATTTATTTATAACCCCCTCCAAGTTACAGCAGCTTATCCGTCTTTATCCATGAAAAGGGGGAGAAACCCATCACCATTTTGTTGGCTTACCAGGTTTCCACAGTAGTTTTTAATGATCTCTGGTTTTTGCAACTGGCTTAGCAACTTGGGCAAATCATCTCGCAAACAAAGAAAAGTTGGAAGTTCAGAGATTACTAGCTACCCTCTGGTAATTTGTTACAGCGTGCTATTGAAGCCATGACCATAGAAATCGTTGATGGTAATTTGTTACAGTTTGCTATTGAAAATGACAATTTTCGTTAAATTAGCCATTCAACATGTTGATTTTCCAGTTCGCAAACTGCACCAGGACGGGCAGCAAGAGCCTCGTCCCTCTGTCGGCCCGCAGCATCAGCAAGAGCTCCGTAGGCGTCGGCCCGTGGCTCGGGGTTTTCGTCCGCTTAAATCCCTGGTGACCCTGGTGGTTGATGAGAATTATAAGCCATTTGAACATAATGTCAACCCCGGATTCATAAACCATGGTTTATTAAATTAATGAGGGGGGTACTCCAAAAAAATAGTCATTTCATCTAATACTGAAAAATAATACCCTCCCAATTAAACGGCCGTTTGGGGTTTATTAATCCAGGGTTGACATTATTTAACCATCATTCATAGGGGTTTTAAAGATCAAAAGACGGGGATATAGTTGATGAATGTTGATGAATGATGGCTGGTTGATGATTAGTTCGGGGGTGATACCACCCAACGTGTATATCGAGGGTTGTCATAATCAAACATAATAAACGGCCACCATAAGTGCAGAATGTAAACTTGTGATGGAAAAGGTTCACAGAAAGCAAACATGCAATAATCGATCCCTATTTTCGGATTTATTTTTCTGTCCTCAGTTTTTAGATGTCAGATTTCTGATTTCAGATTGTTTGAGATGATTTCAGATTTTAGATGGGTTTCTGTACCTCGAAAGCCATTGTTTTTGGGTGGTGCGGGGGGTCGCCGTGATCTAAACCTGGCGAACCGCTGCAGGTGGTCGGGCTCAAGCTGTCTCCCCTTCACCGATTTGCAACAACACTTACACACTTTCCTAGCCCTTCAACCTTCAATTCACACTTAAGTGCACAGTCTGTATATGTCTGTATAGATACATCTCATGGTATATATATATATAAATGCATATATGTATCATATATAATTTATAGAATTATGTGAAATACACGGCATGTATTACGTCTTACGACATGGTACATCAAGCCAAAAACACCACCATGCCTTCCGAGAAGCCGCCATCCTGTCCCCACCTTCACCGCCATGCTGTTCTTTGAGCGTGACCCCCTGGTGGACCCGCGCATCGCCAACGGCTCCTCCTCGAGCCTGACGGGAGCCAGACGATACACGCTGAGTCCTGGGATGTATTGGGATTAATTGGCTTGGGATGGTTTACCCTCTGGTAAACTAACATAGCTATGGAAAATCACCATGTTCAATGGGAAAATCCACTATTTCTATGGCCATTTTCAAGTTCGCAAACTGTTAAATTACCAGAGGGTATCAAATCAAACGTTTATCACCCAAATCTTGGGGTGGTAAACTGCATAAACCATCCCAAGAAATGGCTTTGTTATTGGTATACCGTACGGTATACCCCGAAATTTCTGGGATGATTTTTATCATGACCCCCCAGTCATGGTTGGTGAATGGGATCATCTATGGCATTGGGTTTACCACATTAGAAAGAAGTAAATTTACCACACTAAAATAGTGAACACATCCATTTTTCATGGCATTTCTCATGATTCTTGGTCATTGCTGGTGAATCCCAGGGTCAATCCGTCGTTTGTGTTCAACATGTCCTGAAGCACCGAAAGTTTCGCCATCAGTGTGTACTTGGTGGCTCCCACGAATCGCAAGGGGAGTTATAGCTCTATAACCCCAGTTACTGAAGAGGTAGGGGCAGTGTCAAGTTATAGGGGTTTAGCTAACCGAGATGAAGCACCAAGTAGGTTGCAATGTGGGTAACTTAAAGGGAGGGGAATGGGTGATTTGGCTTTGCCAAGTTGCCAATGTGGGAGCAACCCCCCCGGAATGTTGGGAGCAACCCTCAGAATGGATCTTTATGAGCACAGCCACGGTGATTCAACCGGCAACAATGGGGCTTTCACCCCCAGAAGTCTGGATATTCGGCAAATCATCAGCTGGACCTTGAATGTGAACTCCGGATGAATGGACCCACAGTTTACTGAGGGGGCGGGTACCAATTTTAAGAATATATGGAGTAGTTTGTGAACTATTTTTGGGTAACCCCCCCCCCCATTTATGGTAATCCAACCCATTTGTGGTTACGGTGTAGATCGGTGTAGTAATCTGGGGTTGACATTAGCTGGTGGTTTGGGTTGGTGGTTTGGAACCCCGGTTTCCCTGTGAAGGGGATTCTCACCGACTGGAGCATCTCCTCAATTCTAAATCACCACCCCAAACCACCAGTTAAGCATTGGCTGAGCTGGACCACTATTAACTATCCAACCATGCCGGGGCCTTATGGCGCCCCTTTTGTTGGGGGTACCGGGTACCCTTGTAGACTTCCATTGAGAGAATCTTGAGCTGGAAACGTCGTTGGTGAGTAGCGCTGATCACTAGTGAACTCGTTTGAAGTATTCCGAAACTTGTTGGGGAAGGAAAGCTCTTCCAAATAATCATTAATTACATCAAATATGCCCAAGCATAGAAATCGCGTTTCAGTACTGGCCCTATTCATTTTGGGGTCGCTCATGAGGTTTGTTTACGGTAATAGTCATATGATTGTGAAACGGGAATATTAAGGAGAACCCCTGGGAAGCTTTTGTTCGGCAGCCCCAAGAATCAGCATCGACAAAATCAACTATAAAGAAATGCCACCAATCAATCAACAACAAAACACGACAAACGACAACAACCAACAAGCAACAAACAAGAAACAAAAAACGATAAATGACAACCAGCAAACAGCACTCAAAAACCAAGAAACAACCAACAGTAACCACAACGACCACAACAACAACTGGTTGGTGGTTTGGAACCATGGAATTTTATTTTCCCATCATATTGGGAATTTCATCATCCCAACTGACGATTCGTCATATTTTTCAGAGGGGTAGGTCAACCACCAACCAGATTATTATTAACAATCATTAACCATATAATTTAATAACCATTAATATTACCCTCTGGTTATTTGACATAGCCATGGAACATCACCAGTTTTAAGAGGTAAACCTCTATTTCAATGGGCCATCTATACCATGGCTATGTTAAATAACCAGAGGGTAACCATTAATATTAGCCATATATCAACCATTAATATTAACCATATAATAACCATATAATAACCATTATTAACCATATAATAACCATTAATATTAACAGTATATTACCAACCAATGGTAGGTTGAAACCCACCACAACGACAGGACAACCACAACGACAGTCTCAGGAGTTGGTGGGTCACCGCCGTGGCATTGGTACACTTCGATCGTGGTGCTGCCACGGTGGCGGCCATGGGTGGGGGGACCTCAGGGGCACCTCAGGGGGACCTCAGGGGGACCATGGAAGCCCAACAGATCGTTTTGAGTACATCTGGAAATTGAAACATATATCATATATTCATTTATATATAACCTAGAAATACATCATTATACATCCTAGAAGTATGTTTCAATATCTATATACATCCTAGAAATATGTTTCAATATCTATATACATCCTAGAAATATGTTTCAATATCTATATAACTCTATACATCAAGAAAAAAAACATGTTTCAATGATTTTTTTGGGTTGCCATACTTGGAAAGTACCCGGCGAGCAAGCCGGCGACTGGGTCTGAAAAATGGTCTCCCCCAATTCCAATGGATCAGTGGTCGACCCGGCGACTGAACCGGGGGCCGCTTCGGAGCGCGGAATTTGTAGCGTCACTGTCCGAAATCATGTGTGAGGCTTTTGTGGTTTTGATTTTGGTTGAGGCCAAACTCTGTATATGTATATATATATATATGTGAATATATATATACATATATACATACTTCTTTTCATCTTAGCAAATTTCAGATGTTTTGGATTGCAACTGGTGAGCACAACTTAGTCCACAACTTAGTC